GTCCTCGGCGCCTCGCGGGAATTCGTAACCGCGTTTTTCGCGCGGACGAGATAAATGAATTCGCGGTCGGAAGGTGGGACGGCGAGGGGCGTATCGAAGGTACGCGAGAGGGACGAGAGCCAGCTGATAGCGTACGCGCGTAATTGCCGTCCATCACGCTCCGAGACCGTGACGGAGGGATTGAGAAATGCGAGAGGAGCGACGAGACGCTCGCTCCTGTCGCGCGGACGGAATGAGCAAGAAACGACGAGAGCGAGCGTCGTTGCCCTCGACAGCCGGCGCGGCGTAACTCGAGACTCGTTGCCTCGAGGAAAATGATTTGCGGTATCGGCCGGCATTCCGCTCGAAAGCGACAGCGTTACTTAAGCCGGCCGTCACGCTTATTTAAAGACAATAACGTATATATCACGCGGAGTATCTCACGCGGGAGGTTTGCCGGTTCTTTCCCCCGAGGGAAAGAATTTGGTCGGGTGAACGATTTATCGGTCAGTGTTAGCAGCGTTCGGCATCGTAGACCTGCGTCCACGATGCTAGGCTTCGAGAAATGTGAAGCCAATCAACTTGCAGCTTTTATGGAAGAGTTGCTTTTATACAACAGTTGCAAAGCAGCTTTTTCTGCGCGGCCATTGGGAATTACGCGGATTCGATCAACGCGACGAGAGTTTGGTGTCGCGCCGACACCTGAAATCCGTGAAACTTCACGACTAGCTACCCCGGAGACGCAACATGTCCCATAAGACGCCGAGCACACGACTGTGTCACGTGTCGTCGTTTAATCTACGCGAGATCTCTGGTCGTGTAAGGAGACAAAACACCCCGGAGCTGAGAGACGGCGCGGAGAAATACTGCACTCGAGCTGGAGGGCTGTGCCTTGTAAAGCTTCAAGATTGCATCTACGTGGATTGTTTACGTTATGTTTACGCGAACCTTTTAAATTTAAATTTAATTACACGCTCTCTCAAAAAAGATCCCTACGAACTTAGTGTCACTTAATTTACGTTAATTTCGTGCAAACACGTTCCCTCTCATTTGTACCACATACATATTGCAGATAATTGCACAAATTTAAAAGACGATTGGAGCTGGAAGGTGACGCGAACAGGTAGTTAAAAGTTAAGAATTAAACTTGTAAGGAAAAAAAAACGCGCGTCTCTTATTTCGATCTGCACTGGGGACAAAAGTCCTGCACGTTTCATCAAACGATAAAACCGGCGCGAGTGGTATCTTCAATTAAACAAATTAAATGCAAATTAAACTCGTAGAGACCCTAGTAGCGCAATATATTGGCGCAATATTGGGGAATAATGTGAATCTAGTATTCCGAATATTGGTCCAATATTGTAAGATAGACGCCTTCTCTTATTTAGCCAATGTGTCTATTTAGCAATATTGGTTTAATACTGTATGAATATGTAAAGCAGATAAGAATATAACCCACCCGAATTTTGACAGATAAAAAGAAATCAACATTTTGTACATCATCTCACTTCCATACTCTATCAAAGTGGCCAACATTGACCACTTACTGCGTCGTTGGGCCAGACTGGACCTACCTTTCGTTGCTCCTGGCCATACAGTCTGGTCATTTTGACCAGAGATCAGGAAGGAAGAAAACTCCTTCCATATAGTCGGTTATCGTCACCGACAAATATTTCGTACGGTTCGAATATACGAGTGACGATCGTATCGCAATATGCACGACCACGAGAAGTTAATTAAAATAAAAATATTAATTCAAAAAACTTTACGGTATGTACGAATCAAATTTATTTTTACTTTCGTTATTTATTTAAACATATTGACCATCTCTTTGTAAAATGATCTTTGAATTCAAAATTCGAATAGATATAGAAAAAAATTTACTTCGCGTTAGAGTGATTTTAATCGTATTCCTCGATAAATTAAAATTTATAATATGGATAAAATTAAGTAATTAATAATTAATTAAAATTAATTAATTAAAATTTTTTCCTGAAAAACCGATCGCGAAAACCGACCGCGTAAACCGACCGCGAAGATGCGTGTAATTGTGCATGTCGTTCATGCGATACGCATCTTAACAATACATATTATATATCAAATCAAATATAGAAAATAAGAAAAATAAATGGATAGGTTACAAAAGATTTGCTTGACAAATACAGCAAGACTACTATATTTGGCCAAGCCATACTTTGTGTAATTTTTGCAACAACTCAAGATGGAAAATGAATTCAACATATCGTAATATGTGCAATAGAGTTTCATCAAATTAAAAAAATGTAAAAGAAAATTAAAGGCCCTGCTGCAGGAAAGAATGAATCCCAGATCTTCCGGATTACCTCCGATAGCGGTCATTTCGGCA